CAGGCGCTGTTAACCGATAAAATTTTGTGACAAATTACTACAATAAAAAATTGACCCATTCGAAGTGCTGCTCAAATTTGTTCAAACAATTATTCAATTTTTCAAACAATATACTTTGGTTCAAAAGAAGACGATCTGACCTAGCTTTGATTTTAAAAAAATCCTAGCTCCACTGCCAGGTTTATGGGCAAAGTTTAAAAAAATACGGTTTTCGTAAAAATGTAATTATCTCAAAAATTACAGAAGTTCGGGAAAAGCTTTCCGTTCTACGTTTCTATTAATGTTATAGATAAAACAACCTGAAGAAACCACCCCATTTTCAATGCACTGGAGACTTTATTAAAATAAAGTTACTGAAGATTCACACGAAAATTGACTGAATAGATAAACTATTTTTGGCGTTTTTTGAACATACATACCTTCTGATTTAGATGCCAGTTATTTGAAAGAATTTTGTAAAACTTGGTATTTGTCATTGAGTTCATGAAATTTCGATTCGTAATCCCAAGGTGCAATATTTTTCGATACTTTTGGCTTGTTCACCTTTGATGTTACTAATGGCCTATTTTGGGTAGTGGCAGCTAATGATATTCTTGATGAACTGGCGATGTTTATCTTGGGCTTATCCGTTACGAGAGCCCCGCTTAAGTCCGACACTGAGTTGGAGCGTCTGGTTAGGCGAGTCGGAACAAATGCCTTATGCCCTCTGCGACCGTACAAAGCAGACGCTCCTTCTTTAGTGTTTGGTAATAATTCTTGAGTATTGGTTTTGTATATTGGCAGCCTAGATTGAAGTGGTCTTTCTGCAGACGGCATTGGAATCTTCCTTTCCATGGTCCTATAATACAATAAAATAATTTTGCATCTTTCAAACATACTCAATCCAAACCGTCAACTATGCTCGTGGTGTTACGTACTCACACTACAAAAGTTAAAGGCAATAAAATCAGTTGCGACACCTCAAAATTATTAATTGGGTCACCTCAAAAACCTCGAATTGTACATAGTTTTTAATTTGAGTTT